TACCTAATACTTTTCAAATCATTTCATTTGCATTAATCATTCATTCAGTCGGTGAGTTTAAAGAACATTTATTAATCATTGGAATTAAAAACCAGTTCGCAAATCAAGAACATAAATACTTATTGGCCATTACCTAATACTCTTGAAATCATTTCATTCACACTAATCATTCATTCAGTGGGTGAGTATAAAGAATAATTATTAATAATTGGAATTAAAACAAGTTCACAAATCAATAACATAAATACTTATTTACCATTACCTAATACTTTCAAATCATTTCATTCGCATTAGACATTCATTTAGTCTGTGAGTATAAAGAACATATATTAATTATCAGAATTAAACCAAGCTCACAAATTAAGAGCATAAATACTTATTTACAATTACTTAATACCCTTCAAATCATTTCATCCGCATTAATTATTCATTCAGTATGTGGGTATAAAGATCAAGAACATAAATACTTATTTACTATTACCTAATAATACCCTTCAAATCATTTCATTCGCATTAATCATTAATTTAGTCGGTGAGTATAAAGAACATTTATTAATATTATAATTGGAATTAAAAACAAGTTTACAAATCAAGAGCATAAATACTTATTTGCCATTACCTAATAATACCCTTCAAATCATTTCATTCACATGAATCTAGTTAGTAAGTATAAAGAAAATTAATAATTATTGGAATTAAAAACAAGTTCACAAATCAAGAACATGATTACTTATTTACCATTACCCTTCAAATCATTAATCAATTATTCAGTATGTGAGTTTAAAGAACATTTATAATCATTGAAATTAAAAACAAGTTTACAAATCAAGAACATAAATACTTATTGGCCATTGCCTAATATCTTTGAAATCATTTAATCCGCACCAATGGGGTGGTCGGTCAACTAATTAAATCAAACTTATATGTAGACCCATAATAAAAACAATTAAGCAATCTTTTAAATACGAATGTATTGTTATACAAATGAATATCATTTTTTAATAGGAATTTATTATACGTAGTGAAATCTAACTCCTCTCGCAGTATTAGTTCTTCAAATTTAAGAACAATATGAAACGGATTAAAAGGCATGCTCTTTAATTTGTCGTGGGGATTTTTCTTTTTGCATTTAAAATTTTAATATATTATATATTTGTATAATCTAAATATATATTTATAAAATATTACTATAAAATTTTAAATGCAAAAAAGAAAAATCCCACGACAAATTAAAGAGTAAGCCTTTTTAATCCGTTTCATATTATTCTTAAATTTGAAGAATTAATACTGCGAGAGGAGTTAGATTTCAAAAATCTATCACTTTCGTATAATAAATTCCTATTAAAAAATGATTTTCATTCGTGTAACAATACATTCGTATTAAAAAATTGTTTAATTGTTTTTATTATGGGTCTACATATAAGTTTGATTTGATTAGTTGACCGACCACCCCACCGCACCAATCAATCATTCAGTCAGTAAGTATAAAGAACATTTATTAATCATTGGAATTAAAAACAAGTTCACAAATCAAGAACATAAATACTTACTTACCATTATCAAATACTCTTCAAATTATTTCATTCGCATTAATCATTCATTCAGTGAGTGAGTATAAAGAACATTTATTAATCATTAGAATTAAAAACAAGTTCACAAATCAAGAATATAATACTTGTTTACCATTATCTAATACCTTTCAAATCATTTCATTCACATTAATTTAGCCGGTAAGTGCAAAATTTATTTACATTCGATACGAGTTTAAAATAGCATGACCGATGAAATAAATACTATATATTATATATTTTGATTTAAAGCAACTCTAAATATGGAAAATGTGAACATTGTAATGAAGATAGCACGAATAAAGCATGGTGTTTATCATGCGACCCCGATATAGAAACAAACTGGACAAGTAGAAGTAAGGATATTGACGATTGTATGAAATGGTTCCAACTTATAAGCCAGACATATGAAAATACAATCGAATGGATTCCATTTTATAGATTATCTAATAGTAAAAAAATTGGTAAAGGAGGATTTGGGCTCTGTATATTCAGCAACCTGGTTAGATGGTATACGAAAAATTGAAGAAATTAGAATTAATGATAACAACTATTCCTATAAAAGATCACGAAAGTCAAATAGTACCGTTGCACTCAAGACTTTGTCCGGTTCTTTAAAAGAAGTAAGTTAAATCTATTTATTCAACAGATTATTGAATAGTTTTTATTAAATTAATTAATTTATTCAACTAATTTAATTAATTACAAGTTTGAGAATCATACAAACTGTACTTTGTTGGGTAGCCAACTTAAAATATATGGTTTAACCCAAAACAGCAAAAATGAATGCTTGATGGTATTTCAATACACTAATAATGGAAGTCTTTACAAGTTTTTAAGAAAAAATTTTAGTGATCTTACCTGGAAAACTAAATTAAACCTACTTAAAGATATTTCAGTAGACTTACGTAAGATTCATATTTTAGGACTTATCCATGCAGACCTTCACAGTGACAACATCTTGCAGGATAAAGGCGTTGGTAAAAATATGAAATCTTATATTACAGATCTAGGATTATCCAGACAGGAATATGAAAATTATTTAGAAGGTAATATTTATAGTGTCATGCCCTATGTGGCACCTGAGGTTTTATTAGGTCAAAAGCTCACACAAGCTGCCGATATTTACGGCTTCGGTGTCATCATGTCAGAGATGTCAACTGGACAAAGACCTTTTGATGATTATGAATTCAATACAAAACTTGCAACTAAAATTTGTCAAGGATTGCGACCTGAATTTGCACCTGGAACTCCGGATTGCTATATAGAGTTTGCTAAGCTATGTATGGCATGTTTGGGAGAGATTTAATAAATGGAACCACAAAATGGAAAGACCAAATGTTTCAAAAACATTAAGCAATTATTAGAAGCAGATAAAATAGCAAAAGGATTGCCAATTGTCTCACGAAAACACTCCGATTTTATGTACACTAGCAAACCTATCAATATGCAAAGAATATCAAATGCTGTTAATGCTAATAAAGATATTTTAAAATTTTATTTATTTAAAATTTATTTAATTATTTAAAATTAATTATTTTATAATATTAGAAACTTAACAAGCAAAATCTATTAATTTTGTTAAAATCTTTACTGATAAATATTATATTTGATTTATAGTATTTTGACTAGACTAGTATATGACCAGTCGCTTCGATGACAGTCTAATTTTCTAACATAAATTTAAAGTATATTTCTAAATAAATATAAGATAAACTACTATCGAATTACTCTAAATTCAACCTTTAACTAAATTCAAATATTTATACGCTAAACTCTTATAAATGCATTTAGAAAGGTTTAACTGTACTGTATATGAATAAAGAATTTAAAATTAATAAAGCTAATAGATATTTAATTGATTTAACCTATGATCGCTTAATATCAACTTGATTAAGTGTCAAGTTTTTGCATGATTGTGTCGAGCACTAATTGTCACATTTGTCACGTTGAAATTCTAAATACAAAAGAAGTAAATAAAATGTAGAGTTGCACTAAAGAAAGTGTGAAAATTCAAAAGAAATTCGACCTTTGAATTTACGTGCAAAAAAAAGGAAAAATAGAATAGTTAGTATAGTGAAAATTAAAAGGAAAGGGGAAATCAAAGCATACTCCCTTTTTCAAGACCAAAACCTCCAACAACTGAGATTCTTGGATTTGATTTGAATTCATGAAATAGATTTGATGAGATGAAATATAATGAAAGTTTTTATAATTATTATAAAAGAGCATAAAGACATCTCAAATTTGGGTTAAAGATAATTCAAAAAGAACTTTCTTTGCTTATCTTAAACAAATTCTAAAGTCGATTAAACAAATGCAATTTTTTTAAATCTCACCAAAATCATACATTTTGAGTAAAGCTGCCTTATGTTTCTACCAATGATCTTTCATTGACTACACGAAGAGAATTCCACTTTGGCAATCAAAGCATATTTTTTGATTAATCCGGATCAATCCATTAAAAATTGTCATATGCAATTTTTATCGAATGCAATATAATTGTAAACACAAAAGATGTCCTTCTTAAGGGCAAAGATGCTTTCATAATATAAAACCATCAAGTTTAATAAAACTTTATTCGCAACTTGGTGAATTTAATACTTATATCATTAAAACCATTAAAAACCTTAATTCTCGAAAGTACTTATTATTTCATAGTATTTTTTTCTTTGTGAAAAAAAAATTCTTTGTTGTTAAAGAGGGCTTAGCTTTTTAATCACCAGGAAACACCATTTGCTAATTCTGACCGATTAAAGATCATACACGATTTCCGAAATTATTTTTTCACGGCCAATAATACTCAAGTATGAACGGACTCTGCCAGGAATGACCGCAAGATTTACGCGTCCGTCCATCCTTAAGTTTTGTATGGAATCGCAAACTATGAGATTTTTATTTAATATTTCTGATAATCAAATACGTGTGGAATTCTAGATTTACCATTAAAAATGCAAAGGATATATGAAATTTCCTTTTTACGAAATTTTACCTTTGAAGATCATATTTAACAAATATGACGAAATTTTTTCCGAAGATCTTTTTTGCAGTAAAATTTAATATATTAATAATTATAAAGGTTTTAAACCGTACCATAGTTGGCATTATAAATAAGTTTTAAGGAAATTAAAAGAGTTTTATATAAATTTTGGTTGTTAAAAATAAAGTTAACCTTGTGATTAAAGCAAGTTAATCAAATTAAAAAAAAAAATATAGTGTTGATCTTGTTTGGTAAAATTGAGTACCGGCTTTTAAAGTTAATATTTACTTATCATAAATAAGAATCACAATTTACTGTTAAATGTTTGATTATGCAACAAATAATTATAATTAAAATACGTGACATGCCTTTTAAATTTTCTATTTAAATGGCAGAAGAAAAGTTTTTCTAACATTAATTTTCTCAATAAACTTGAAATAAAATTTTGCAAAATGAAATTGATTTTATTCGTTCTTATTATTAGCCTTTATTTCCTAAATACTGTTCAAGGTAAAGAAGCTTCAGCTTGCTTCACTGGAAAAGGAGATAGAAAAATCAAAGGATATGTTACTTTTACTGAACAACGTGGTAAAAAGGACGGGCTCCATGTTCAAGTTAAAATTACTCAAGGTTTTGCCCAAGGAAAAAAGTATCCTTATCATGTTCACCTGTATAAAATAGTAAATGGAGACTGTAATTCTACGGGAACTCATTTAGATCCTTCTGGTAATAAAATAAATTTGTATTAGATTAGTTTATTATTTCGATAGAATCAAATGCTTATTTAAATTGTTTCATTTCAATAGGTGTTGGTAAGAAACCAAATTATCATTGCAATCCCAAAACACCTAACGAATGTGAAGCTGGAGATTTAAGCGGTAATATATTTTAAATCGATAAGATTTTTGAATAATTATTAAATTCATATTATGATAATTTTGGATAGGTAAACATGGTGATCTTGAAATCGATCATAGTGGCATGGCTAAAGCTTCGTATTTTGACCGATTCATTTCTTTGAAAGGTCATGCAAACGGGGTCGTTGGTCGCTCCGTTGTTATTCACGCTGCTAAAGATCGTATGTTGTTCATTCCTTAAAATATTAGATATCATTAAAAAAATCATTAAAATAATTTGTACCCTTTTTTTTTCAAGGTACGACGAGAATTGCTTGTGCTGACATTGTTATGGGAAAATGTCACGTGTAAAAAAAAACATAAAGTAGGGTTTATGAAGTAGGATTTATTAAGTAGGGTTTAGAATTTATCGAACAATTAATCTGTTTCCTGAATTTTCTCTATTTTACTGTTTTATTCGTCCAAATTAAGGATCCAAATATTGCATTTATTCATTTATTATTGATATATATATATATATATATATATAGATTTTTTTTTTAATCAAAAAATAAAAGACAAAAAAAGAATATTTAATGCACTATTTAAGTAGTGTGATGTGTGATAATATATAATCAAATATAACGATAATATCAAAAAATGTGTATATAAAATTCAAATTCCACTCATACGTATTTATTACCTACTTACCACCAGTTTCATGAGTTTCATGAGTTTCATGGTGATCCTTCGCACAATACCCAACAGCCACCTGAAAACTAAAATAGATACAACTTTCAATAGAATCCGTTATAGCAATATAAACTGCTTTAAATCCCATAAAAAATAATACTACAGGTACTATACATAACAACGTTCCAAAAAATGCTATTAATGCAAGTATTTTCAATTTATAAGAATGCACCTTTCGACGTCTTTCAATCTCATCTGGTATCATACTACATTCATCCATCCATTGTTGACCAAGTAAGTAAATTGTCGATATAGCTAATGATGAGTAAAGGATGAAATTCAATGGAATTACACACGCAATGTAAAGTGGAAACACGATAAATGCATAAAGTAGACGCTGAGGTTTAAAATTATTTTGGTTTAATGGGTTTGATTTTTGATTTAATGGAGTTGGTTCTTGAATTAATGGAGCTGGTTCTTGAAATAATGAAGCTGGTTCTTGAATTAATGGAGCAGGTTCTTGATTTATTTCTCGTGTTAAAATTGGGTTAATAGGTTTATCTTTACTTATTTTAAATGATTTTTGAACAACAGAGTCATCTATGCGATAAGTTAGTGATCGTTTAGGACGACGTTTAGGGATTGGACGTTTTGGATGACGTTTTGAATTATGATTTGAATTATGAGTTGGACGTGCCTCATATGTTGATATAATTTCTGGTTTCACTTCTTTTAATTTTCTTTCAGGTTCTCTATAACGATTATATGTTTCCATTAGAGGGTCAGTATAACTCTGACATGTTTCTACTACAGGGTCAGCATATTGATGATATGTTTCCATTACAGGATCAGCATATTGATGATATGTTTCCATTACAGCATCTGGCATCATACAAGAAATACCTAAAGAATCAAAAAAATCCTCATTTAATTCTATATCATATTTCATCTTTTTAAACATTGGCGATTCGTATACTTTTTTTTCTTCTTCAGTGGTACCATAATAATGCGCGGACAACATTTTAAAACTACCATATATAACTGAACCCATTGATTCAGTTACTCCTTGATAATGACATTCAGGTTTTTTTATGTGAAGTATTACGGGTGAAATTATAGTTATCGCAAGTTCATCATCAAATGAAGTTAACATATCATATGGAAGCATACTAATTGCTGGATATAATATTGTTATGACTGGTGATAGTTCTACAAAAAAGTATTTTAAAACTGGCCCATATTCATGCTTCTCCATGACAGATGTACATAAATAGTACGGTGAAGGTGTGATTCCAGACAGCATTTTAAATTTTATTTCTGATTATCGAAAGAATATATAATATAAAGTTAACTACGTATTGATAACAAAACGAAGTTTAAGGTATGAGTGACGTCTCAATTAATGATAAAAAATGGCGGAAAAAAAGTGAAAAATGTCTGTTGCTTGGAATGAATTTATACGTAAGAATCAGAAAAGATTATCTTTTGAGACAATTTAACGTTTTTTGATTATGACTCTTGTCAATCCTTCTTTGTTGGTTTTCGAACCATATTCTGAAAGGGTAATATAACGTCATCGTACCCCAAATTAATAAATAGATTGACGCAATAGTGGAGATATTTCACAAAAAGATTACAAAAAAAGATTATGATATATTGGTAGTTATTTCTTGTTTTATACATGTGCATACTGAAAATCTGGAAATCGTAAGAAAAAAATTAAGAGATAAACCAAAATTAATCAAAATTAACAGTAATAGGATGTATTACAAAAACCTACGCTTAAAATCGTTTACTTAAATGAATAAACAAGATGATTTTAATTCCTTTATTAAAGCAGTGTTGTATGTTGAACAAAAAAATCGAACTTTATTTAGTTATTGACCATGTTACTTACATTAATGCTATATCACGTGTTCGAACTGATTCGGGATCATAATATTTCCTAACTTATCTTAACGATTGTTTTAATCCATATCAATAAAGCCTCTGAGTAAAAAAATGAAAGGAAAAAAACTAACAAGAGAAAGGAATCACATAATAAATAAACTAAACTTTATAAAATAACAATAATTTACATAATTAATATAAGTAACATGACCAATAACCACTCCCAGATAATATATCGTATCAGGTAGAATGTAGGTAACATTGTGTCAGCATCATTTAGTAGGCTCAAATGGCCACACTAAATGATGCTGACACAATGCTACCTACCACTACATCCTACCTGATAACTATTAATTGATAATCCGTTTCAGAATGAGGCAACCATACATAGTAAATTGTGACGCGCAGATAGAGATTTGAACCGGTTGGGCTATAATCGGTTAACCAGTTGAGGATCGGTAATCGGGTGGAAGGAGTCATTTTTCTACTAAGGAAAGTATATCTTCAATTTTTAAATAAACTTGGGGAAGCATCATTTTCTGATTCTAATGGTAAGATCATTAAAATCTGATTAGTATATTGCTAGAAACCGATTTTCCGACTAACGAAAACAAACTATTGTTTACGTGAAATGGCATTTTTGGCTATAGTAAAACTAGTCATAAATAGGTTTGTCTCATTCGAAAACGGATTATCAATTAAATATTTTGTCGGGACCCTAATTAAATTTTTAATATAAACGCTTTTATAAATCTAATCGAATAATTAATTGGGTATTGGTCATTGTGTAAACTTTCAATATCCAAGTTCACTGAACCCATTGGACCGACATCACTGTTTAAAGTGATTGAGTTCTAGGTTTGATAAGCAAAGATGATCTTAATTCATTAAATGATTGAATTCCAGATTTCATGTTCTGTATGCAAGTACAGTTAGAGTTTGGAACAGAATTTATTTATTAAAAGATCATTCGGAAAAACTGATACAACCCAAAAAAAGCGCAAAACTTACGACTTTGATACTTCTGCATTTTTTTGATTTTACCTTTTTGATACTGACCATCATGTGATGATTATATTACAAGTCAGCCAATCACGCTGTTTTTTTTTATTGTTTGTAGAGTTGTTAATGGGTTGGAGTGGGTTATTCTTCAACCCACTCCAACTTGGGTTGAGTTGGCTCTGGAGCCACTCCAGGTTTGCTTAGAGTAGCTCTAGTTTACTTCAGTTTTACTCCAACATATTTTTAATCCACCACTCCATTTAATAACCCTAGTTTTGTTTCTCATTTTTCTATGCAACTATTACTATGAAAACATAAAATGGTATTGTCCCTTTTACTATCGAGCTATTACAAATTTTTTTTTTTTTGGATACATTCACTGTCGTTCCGACTGGCCAGTCTTTCATTGTGACTGTCGTCCCAACAAGCCACAATTCCAACATTTGTAATTCACACAACCCTCCCGCTTATATTATTTTTACCATACAATGACTACCGTCCCGGCAGGCCGAAAGTCAGAAAGACAAAATTACTTTCCTAATATACTATGATCCAATTACCTCAAATACCTCATGCTTACTAAACTCATGTAACGTAATATCATGTGATACTTAACACAAGTCTAATAAGTCTTTGGTATATTTATTTTTTCAGTTCTATTATAACTGATTATATGTGTTAGTAAATGTATAAATAACCCCGTTACCCCGAATCTATAGTTTGTCTAAAGCATAATAATCTGATAGCATAAAACTCGTATTACAGCTGTTATCATTATTCCTGGGACACCTTATGAAAAATTAACCAAATAATTATTCAGCCGATTCGATAAGTTATTGATTTCGGCATGATTAGTACAACGTTTATTTACGGAGATAGCCTAAAGTCAGGTATATATGTGGGTTTTAAATTGGTTACTAATCGATTTGTAAATTGAAACTCATGTGGAATATATAGGCTTTAAACGACCTCTATTTACAGTGCAACAGTAACAATTATTAATCGGATAACCAATATCGATATAACTCTGAAACATATTCGTTATAATTTTGAATAATTGCTAAACACTTAGATGTTAGCAAATCTTCAATAAGTCGAATTTTAAGGATATGGATATGGTGAAAGACTTCTGCCACTTGTAAGAAAACCAGTCTACTAAATCTGAATGATATATATAAAATATTTTAAGACTTTATTGAAGAGAAGCCTGACTGATATTTTTATGAGTACAATCTGAGATACTGTAGAATTTTGAAAACAGAGATTGTTAAGTTTAATTCAAATGTATAATACAGTAATACGTATACGTATGCAAATTGAATTGTGTAAGCTAATTACATCGTCAATATATTAAGAAAAAAAAAACCAAAAATTATCTTTCACTATTATTGGCTACAACCATGCCTAAAAGCAGTGTTATCACTTGGAAGGCCACTGAAAGTAAATCACTGGAACTTAAGTTCCAGTAACACTATTGATTTATTTCCAGTGGTCAAGGTGTTCCAGGAATAATGATAACAGCTGTAACACGACTACTTGTATCTTCATGTACATCTAGCCGTTTCGTACCTGAATAAATCATATATTTACTTGAGCATAAATACAGCAGTTGTTATCAGTCGACTAACATATCTGTCGCTAAAGTAAATTAGTTATACCAGACTTATAAGACGTGTAACAGTACTAATTACATTGATCATACTTTCATCAATGATCGTATTATTAATTACTCATACCGTAACCGGCCTATCACATGTTCGATATGATGGCTGCTTCGATACTTACGTATCGAGCAGCTATCAGCTATTAAAATAAAATTAAGATACGCGACAAACGCAATGTTTTTAAAAGGAAAATTAAGTTATGCGAATATTATGCAGGCATCGTGCTTTATAAAAAGTTGCGCGAATATCATGCTGATGTAATGTTTTTTTAAAGGAAAATTTAGTTACGCGAATATCATACATACGTCATGTTTATAAAAAAATTTAAATATCTTGTAGACGTAATAGTTTTTCAAAATATTCATTACACAAACGATTGATGGATGTACAGTATTTAGAAAAAAAATAATTAATCGTGTGCAATAAGGTTTTTTTAAAAAAATCTCGGTTCAAAAATATTTATCGCAGCAAAAAGTTCAAGTTATTACTTTTCAATTCTCATTGTTCAAACAAGTAATTATCAGTATCAAAAAGGTAAAGGAATTTTAGATATAGCCGTTAATTTCTAATGCTAATTGATATTGGTGCACATTTTCTGGTTACTAGATTATCACATTATGATATAATATCAATATCAATGATTGTGTAAAAAATTGTATTCTTCGCGTAATTACTAACTTTAGTTTTTATACTAACAAATCAACCTATTTTTAAAATGATCAATGAAAGCCTTTTCGAAAATTTAATAAATTTCAATACTGATCTTATGGGAAACATGGATATCCATTTGTATGATGGAAGGCTTATAAGGACATGTCTTTTAGCATTAAATGTTGAAGAACAAGTATTATTCATTTCTTTTAATCTTATCCGGAATACTTAAGAACAGTTAACCCAGTGATTAATGATCATGTAATGAACGCAATTATTGAATGTGTGCCAGGGTTAGGGTCAGGGTTTGGAATCAGAGGGAGTAGTTTATATAGTAAAATCAGTGATGGCAATTTGACAAAATTATTGAGTTGAAATGTCATAAGAATGTCATTTTTCGTCATAAAAAAAATATTATTGATTTGATATTAATCATGGTTTTATATTTTGCCATCAGAGTAAAATTGCCCAACGAAAACTTTTCTTATGCTGATTTTTAGAAAAGTAAGCGATTTTTGACAAACGGACGTTTGTTTACGTTACGCCTGATCTAGAAATCTGATTCGTAGTTCAGGAAATCTTCGCCACAAACCTGGCACACATTCCCTAAAAAGTCTGGTTCATGACTAGTTAAAAACTAGTTCACCTTCTGTCAAAAACAAAAACAAGTCCTACGGTAATCCTACCCGTGTTTAATATAGGTGTTATAATACTCTTAATTGATCGAGAAGCACTTAACTAATTTTAGCTTAATTCACCAATTAGAGTGTCTTTCAGTGTTTGTAGTCGACCATTATTTATCGACTTTACTAAGTCGATCATCTTTGGTTAAACTTCGGAAGCTATCCTCATTTTATTTCAACCTTGCTCGTATTTTATGTTTGTCGATTTTCTTTTCAAAAGGTAAACCACCGAATACAATGATTTGGCCTAAATTTGATCGGTTGCTATTGTAACGGTTGCATAGGAGAACGACGCATAATGAATGCACAGTGTAGCTCCAACCGTTACTGGAAGTTATGTGAATTGAATGATACGAGATTTCTATAGGGCATGGTAATTCTATAGGAACGGATTATTGATGGTGTGAACTTAA